GTGTATTAAATATTATGTTTACAAACACATATTTCTGTCTACAATAAGGAGTTTGGATGTCATTCTAAGAGTCCTGCCAAGCCACTGGGGGTTTGAAGTAGGTACACACACACACATAAACACACACAAGCTAACTCAGCAGTGCCTACATAGTAAGTCCTGGGGAAAAAAATGTTCAATTGTATAAAAAATCAGTGGGTGGTGCTTTCTGCATACACTAAGATAGGGTACTCTTGGTAAGTCTAAATTTCAGGGGAAAATATCTAAAAGTTATTTTTATTCTACAACTATGTTTTCTTCTAGGCTGCTTTAAGGATTATAGTTAGCTATAGCTCATGCCTTATTATCTCCAGACATATTTTTGTAAATAATACTACAGTAATTTCCTTAATAAGCTCAACATATCAGTATAACCTACTTATTAAGGCACCTTGACAGGTTTCAGATGTTATGGCCTAAAGAAATTTGGAAAGTATCAGAAAAGATGCATTATGAGAAAGTAGCAGTAATGAAGTACTTTAAGGCATGTGCTTTTCAATAATTAAAAATGATTTGTTTGCTTCAAACTCATTCTGACTTGTGGTTTAACAGCCTCGGTTTAATAGCCTTGTTGGTCCTTCAATTCCCATGCAATCATTTGTGTGAGTTTATAGATAGTTAACTGATCCAAGCAATTAAAGAGAGGAAAGCACCTTCTTTTAAACAAGAAAGACTAAACATCTACCTGATATTATCAGATGTGGCCAGCTGTCTGTGATGTAAAATAGTGAGTCAGTGGCTTCCTATGTAATTGGAGCCTCTGTTCATTGGTTGACCATCAAGCATGATATTAACTTGAAGAAGGGCTACTTGGGGTTTATAGTTAGCAAATTCACTAGATAAGACAGCCAGGTAATGATGGGCTAGAATGGAAATCTTTTTGCTTTGGAGCAACTTTGAGTTTTAGGGAATAAATGGAATGCTCCATATAAGTGAAAGTCAACATATTAAAAATGTTCTGATATAAGGAATATGAACCCATTCAATGAGTAATAATATTCATTATTTGTTTTTGTATATAATGCTAGAGGCCTGGTCCCTCAGCCCGTCCTGCACCTTCTCCAATCTGGGATCCCTCGGGGGATGTCCAACTGCCGGTTTAGGCCCCATCCCACAGGGGCCTAAACCGGCAGTCAGACATGCCTCTCGCAATCTGGGACTGCTAGCTCCTAACCGCTCTCCTGCCTGCCTGATCACTCCTAACCACCTCTGCTTTGGCCCCCCACCCGGAACCCAGGCTTCCCTCCCTCTGGCCAGCTGCAGGCGCCTGGGACCAGGAGAGGATGGCTTCGCCCGGGCCGCAGCCACAGGTGCTGGCGCCCAGGACATTGGGCTTGCGGCCTGCTTCAGCTTCTCTTCTCCCAGGCCACAGCTGCAGGCGGTGGCACCCAGGACTGTGGGAGGGCAGCTTTGCCCGGGCTGGCTTTGTCAGGAAGGACATCCGGAAGACGTCTAGTCTAATTAGCATATTACCCTTTTATTAGTATAGATTGCTTCATTTGCTCTTCATAGCTACTCTGGGATTGGACAGGTGCTATTTTTTATTTCCCTTTTGTGGGTACTGGCTCTGGGCATGGTAACTGCCATGGTCTCCCCTTTGTACATAAGCGCCCAGGCACAAGCACAGGTAGGTCTGTCCTATATGCCTTTGTCTTACCACCATATCAGAATGCCACTCAAATAATTTGAAATCCTTACTTCAAATCAATATTGTGACCACTAGAGTGGGAGAGGGTGTGGGCAGAATGAAGGTAAAGGGAAGAAGGTTTGGGGGGACAAACAGGCGAGATCCAGTGGCAGAGCAGAAGGGAAATGGAGGGACAGGAGAGCAGGAGGCTGAAGAGCTGGGGAGGGGCTCACAGGACGCAGAGCGCGTGTCCTGGTTGTCACATCCTCCTAAACACTGGTCATTCATAGCTATGCTGCACAGTCCTTTAGGAATGCTTATTGTTTTTGGTTCTTTATGTAAATAACCATCTGCTATGTTTCCATTCTTTGAAGTTGTTAACTTTTTAATGTTTTTAAACTTTTAATGTTTCTTTGGTCCTTCCTTTATTCTTTCCTTTATTTCTTTACTCATATTTGATTATTTTTGTGTAAAATAAAGTTATATGAATATGTTTTAAATTACATGAGTTTTAGAAATGCACCCTAGAAGTTTACATTTAACCAATATTTTTTTTAATTTTTTTTATTGCTTAAAGTATTACCAAGGGTATTACATATGTGTCCTTTTTTTTCCCCCCGCCCTTGACAATCCCCTGGCCTCCCCTACCCCTCAGTGTCTTATGTCCATTGGTTATGCTTATATGCATGCATACAAGTCCTTCGGTTGATCTCTTACCCCCCTCCATTTTTGTCTAATTCTTTTTTTAAATTAAATTTATTCTTTTCCCATCACCATTTATCTCCCCTCTTCCATCTCCACCCTACCAGTCCCTGCTCCCTTCTCCATATTATTGTATTTCAGAGATATTTCAATGATCAGAGAATATACTCTTATTCTAGGGATAAAAAATCCATTTTTCAACAATCAGCTGACCTGACAGTTATAAAGTAAAATTTTCAATATAAATATCAATGCAGTTTTCCTCACTCTCTATTAAAAGGTCAGGAGACTTGGGTTTTTGTACAATTGACCTTTTAGGTTTAGCACAAACTAACCTGCAACAGGACTTTATAAGCAGTTTTATATTTTTTCTGTCGTGAAAACTCAAGTGATGTCACCTTTGCACCTGTTACCTTGACAAGATGTTCTGAAATAGAATTCTGAGAATTAATAATTATACAAAAAACCAGGCCCATTTTATTTGCACAATTTAAATTAGTTCTGTGTTCATTTAATTAAAACTCAAATACATAACAGAGGTTGAATACCTTCCTGGTGGTATTCTTCAGTTCTAAGCATCATTATTGAGTTTTAGTACCCTAACCCTACCAATTCCAAATCCTGAATTGACTATTTTCCCACAAGTAACATTGCTTATCATTGGGACATGTAAAGGGGCCTGGCATACCCATATCCTTTTACTTAGTAGAAAATTGGGAGAGAAGATAGTGGCCTAAAGCTAGAGAATTAGATTCTTGGACATAAAGTATTTTATGACATAGGTGAGCTAAAGGAGCTCAGGTCTAGTTCTAGTTCTTCGACTATGTGTCTGTGAGAATTTCAACAAGTTGCCAATCCGCCATGGGCCCTTAATTTCCTAATTTCCAGCAAGCGGGGATGAGACAAAAATTTTAGCTGATAAATCTTTTGTTTTTCCTCCAAATTAATCTTAATTAATTCAAATTATTCAAATGTAAATAAGACCAAGAAAAGCCCTCCTGATTGCTTTAGCAGTAGCTTCATCCTTAAGCCTACTGAATTTCTCCATGTATCAGAATATGAAAGTCAGTGGGCTAAATAATTTTTAGGACACTTCCAATTGTACATGCATTGAGGTCTATCTTACCTTAGAAGAAATAATCTAAGTAACTTCAAATTAAAACTAATGACCAAAAAAATCTCTTCAGTCAAGTATATGATACATTGTGGTTTTGATTCCAGTTGTTTTTCCGGAGCAGGATGCAAGGGTGATTTCTTTCCCAGGTCCTTGTCCAGATGGATTCAAAGAATGAAGCCATGGACAAAAGGTGGTAGATGAAAAGGGTGGAATTTTATTGGAAGCAAGTACAGACTCCCACTAGGGAGGAGGTTCCAAGGGGGTGACCCATTAAGCTCCTTTTTTCTAAGGTTTATAAAGGCTGCAGTTCTTTGTCTCTTGATACTCCCTTCTCATTGGTCACTCTTCTGCAGAATGTCAGCTTCAAAGCCCAAACCCCACATGGTACCCCCCTCCTTTTCTCTCCCCCTTCTGTGGTAGAGTTCTCTATCTCCTGTGAAAATCTGTTTTCCTCTTTTTCCCATTTGTTGCTATTTCTCTATCCTCTGTGAAAGTTTGTTTCCTTTTTCTCCCCATATCCTGTGGCTTTTCCTTATCTTCTGTGAATGGATGTCTTCTCTCCCCTTATCCTGTGGCACCTTTTCTCTCTCTCTGTGAATGTATGCCTTTTGGCAGCTCCAAGCCCTCACCTATGCCTTCCTCCCCCATGGACCCTCTTTATTTCTAAATCTCCCTAAACCGCCCTATTTTATCCCTAAAACTCCTTTCAGTTTGGCGTCTGGTCATTCTGATCAGGAGGGTGTTTACTTGGCACTGTCATCAGAATGAAGGGAAGAGGAGCACCCAGGAATTTTAACAATTTTAAAAGTCAGCATAATCTTATGTACAAGTTAGATGACTCTTAGAATTGTATCAATGACAGAGAGAAGGCATTATGGCCTTTGTAATATAGTAATCATTTCTTTTTATACTTGACTTCTTGGTAGTTTATATAAAGACTAGAGTCCCAGTGCATGAAATTCATGCATTGGGCGTGGGGGTCCCTCAGCCTGGTCTGCACCCTCTCTAATCCGAGACCCCTCTCAGACATCCCTCTCACAATCCAGGACCACTGGCTCCTAATGGCTCACCTGCCTGCCTGCCTGATTGCCCCTAAACACTCTGCCTGCCTGCCTGATTGCCCCTAACCACCTCTGCCTGCCTGCCTGATCACCCCTAACTGCCTCTGCCTGCCTGCCAGATCACCCCTAACTACCTCCGCGTGCCTGCCTGATCACCTCTTACCCCTCTGCCTGCTGGCTTGATCACTCCTAACTGCCTCTGCCTGCCTGTCTGATGCCCCTAACCACTCTCCCCTGCAGGCCTGATCACCCCTAACTGCCTCTGCCTTGGTCCCCGCCACCATGGCTTTGTCTGGAAGGACATCCGAAGACGTCCAGTCTATCTGGTCTAATTAGCATATTACCCTTTTATTAGTATAAATATGTTTGCTTATATTTTTGCTCACATAACTTGCACTATTTTTTCTTACCTAGGCTGAACCATAGGCTAGCTTTACAGAAAAGGAGAAGATTTAAGACTTCTCCCCTTTCACATACAAATGGTTATTTTCTACCCAAACAAAGCCAGGAAGCAAAAACAAACACAAAAGGGCAACTTTGCCACGACTAACATTTGCCTCCCACTGTATGGAGGTAAAGCTTTTATTTCTTAGAAGACAAAAAGGGATAATAAAGTGTTTAACATTCAGATAAGTTGAGGAGTTGACAATATTCTAGCTTTAAGAGGATCACTTGGTTTTCTTTGTAATTTTATGAATTCTCAGGGCATTGGACACTTTTCTTAGGTATAATGTATATTGTTAAATTAATATGGCTGTTTGAAATAAGTCAGACAGAGAAAGACAAATGCTATATAATATCACTTACATGGGGGTCTAAAACAGCCAAACTCATAGAAACAGACTAGAATGGTGGTTGCCAGGGGCTTCGGGGTGGGAAAAACTGGGAGATGTTGATCAAAAAGTACAAGATGAGGAGTTCTGAGTATCTGACATACAGGTGGGGATTGTAATTAATATTAATGTATTACATATTTGAAAGTTACTAAAAGAGTAGATTTTAAATGTTCTCACCACAAAAAAGAAATGGCACTTATGTGATGTGATTGAGGTTTTAGCTGACACTATGGTGGTTATCATTTCACAATATATGTTTCAAATCAACACATTGTACACCTTACACTTAAAAAAATGTTTCATGTCAAATATATCCCAATTAAGCTAAAAAGTAAGATTGGGGGATTTGCTAAACAAAAAAACAATATGGTTAAAGTGACTTGATACCCATGCCCTAATCTGGAATCTCAAAACAAATTTACCTCATTCTGTGACCATCCTACAAACATTAGAAACTTAAGAGATGGTACAACATCTATGATCCTCTTTATACTACTAATAGTTTACTCTGGATACAATGTCAGAGCCATATGCTGTGCATTTGTTTCTTGAATTTATGTGTTGACAATTCATGGAATAAAATATTTCAGATCCTTCGGAAAAAAGTTACAGCCTAACCTCAGAAGAGTCACCAACCTTCAACAATGATTCGCTGAACATAAGTCAGGCTACCCTAGATTTCTTCAAGACCTCACATTCCAAGGGCCCTTGTGGAATTAAGGAACTGAGGTAGGTTATATGTAAACATAATGCATAGTAACAAATTTGGACAAGCCCCAACTAATTCTCTTTGCTATATGAAGAAAGATGGTCCCCATGTGTGTACTTTATACGGCTATTCATGTAAAATGTTTGTGTCCTTTGCTGACCTATTGTAGGGATTTAGTAAAAGGCTTATGGAGGTGTTGCTTTATTATGAAGTATAAAAATTACTTATAATATGTAAGTATGTAAATCTCTGCTGTAAAACATGTCAGAAAAATGTAAAAAATGGAATTCAATAACCACCCGGCATTTCTTTTTAAATTGAAAAGCAGTTGCCTTACTTTCATTAATTAACCTAATACTTTTAATTTTAAATAAATTTTAATACTTTGCATTAGTAGAATCTTACTCAATGTGAATAAAGTTTTCAGAATACTATATTGAGAGGTTTCTTTCTTGAAATCAAGTCCATGCTGTTGATGATAGCATAATTCAGTTTGTTACCATTTTACTCATTCCTCACATAAGGTAAGAGCTTTTAGGAATGGTGACCAGTTTATAGGGAACATACTAATATACTAATAAATGCTTAAGAAATGTAGTTTACCATGTCACTCTACTATTGACATACTGGAACTCCTTGTAAAAAGAGGAGGGTTTCGCATAGGTTTGTGATAAATGTAAATAAAAGCCCCTTGTATTGTAAATTTCTTTGATTGGTTTGAAGTCTGATATTGCAGTAAAAGGAAAGCAAGAGTTTTTGTTTGTTTGTTTGTTTGTTTTTTGAAGAAGGAGATAATTTAGCTGTGGTTCTTGGCTTTTTGCATTTCTAACACTAAAAGTTTATTTTTAAAAGGGGTAAATCTAAAGTTGCCATTCCCCCAACCCCCCACCAAAGTAATTAAAGATAAAAGAAACCTACCACTTACTGTCACCACCGTTTCATAAAATAAAGAACAATTAGCACAAACACGTAAGGGGAACACATTAACAGAATAAAACACTGTGCTTTAAAACTAAGAATGTCATGAAAATGTCATTACCAGTGAACATTTTTATTCACAGTTAGATCTGCACTGGTTCGCAGATGAGAGTGTAGGCTCTGCTATTTAGCCAGTGTTGGACATAAAAAAAAAATCCAAAGAACAGTTATATCCATCATGGAATGTTAGGCAAGTATTTTATATTTAGTGCCATACATGGACTGACAATTGAGATCATTTAAACCAGAACATCTGAGTGGTGCAGGCCCCCCACTGTTCCCCACTCTACCTCTTCTCCCACTCTGGAATCTTACACACTGGAGCCTCCAACAGAGCTGCCTCTCCACAATAAAACACAAAAAAATAAAATAACTCAATAATTATTGTCATTCATTCTGGTTTTGGCATATCTTGACTGGCTATCCACATAGTCCTAATTTACTGTACACAAAAGAGTTGATTTATCTGGCAGTCTACATTCATTGGGATTCTATTAAACAGCCAATGTAATGATGAATGTCCTTAATGTTGACCCCGAGGCTCAGCAAGTTTCCAAAGTGCCTTCTGAATCATCGGTGAAAGACACAGTCAGAGACTGTAAAACCTTCTCTCCTTGGTACCACTGTGGCTTTATTTCTTGGGAGAGGGAAAATGACGAGAATTTCTCATTAAAAGGAGGCTTGGTATATTGGGCATGTTGAAAATTATGGCCCCAGTCTGAGGCGGCCCCCTCCCATCTGCCTGCCTCCAGTGACTTCTACGTATGTAGTATTGATCAGAAGATAAATGAAGAGTTCAAACCTAGTTCTGTATATTGTATATTGATCTTTTAATGTATTTCCAGCTTTTCTGAAAAAGATACTGAGATTCAGTCTTTCCTGACACTTTCTGAAAGCAGCAAGGACGAGGAGGAAAAGGACTTTCTTGACAAGCAACATGTCATCATACTACCATGGCCAAAGAGCACCTAAAGGTCATTTGTTCTTCACTTTTTACTTTTTGTATCCAAAGTAATTGGAAAAAAGTTAACAACTAATAAAAGTAACCAAGAAATTACTTCTCTAGTGCTGGAGATTTTCATTAATGTTTCTGGTATTTCAAGATTTTCAGACTAATAAAAGTTAAAGAACTGTTTCTTCCAACTAATATATTGTGTATCAAACAATAATCTATATTGCAGATCCTATTGGTAAAATTTGGTGAGTTTAGAAAAGTAACAGTTGCCTGAAGGTGTGACTCAGTGGTTGACGGTGACCTATGAACCAGGAGGTTGTGGTCGATTCCCGGTCAGGGCACATGCCCAGGTTTTGGGCTTGATCCCCAGTGAGGGGCATGCAGGAGGCAGCTGATCAATGATTCTCTCTCATCATTGATGTTTCTATCTCTCCCTCTGCCTTTCTCTCTGAAATCAGTAAAATATCCTATCTAATAAAAGAGAAACATGGTAATTAGCGTACGACCGCTACCCTTCCCATTGGCTAATCAGGGCGATATGCAAATTAGCTGCCAGCCAACAAAGATGGCGGTTAATTTGCATATGTAGCCACAATGCTGGGAGGTGAAAGGGATCGGAAACCCAGGCAGCAGGCAAGAGGTGGGGGGCGGGCAAAGGTGGTGGTGATCCCTGATTGCATTGTGGATTGGAGGCAGAGAGAGCCCCAGCTGGCCTGCTTCCCTGTGATCACCATGGCGATTGGGGGCAGAGAGAGCCCAGGTGCAGGCCAGCTGGCACCCCTGAACCCCCGGGCTGGGATGCGGGCTGGCTTGCTACCCCGTGATCGCCATGAGGATGGGGGCAGAGAGAGCCACAGAGCAGGCCAGCCGGCACCCCCGGATACCCCAGGGCTGTGGGTGCCGGCTGGCCTGTTGCCCCGTGATCGCCATGGCAATTGGAGGGAGAGAGAGCCAGGGGCAGGCCAGGCGGCACTGCCAGAACCCCGGGGACCAGGGGTGCCGGCTGGCCTGCGTCCGGTGATCGCATGGCAATCGGAGGGAGAGAGAGCTGCATTGCCATAGAAGAGCCTGGCCGCAGGCAAGGTGGCACCCCAGGCCTGTGTGCCGCCTTGCCTGCGCCCTGTGATTGCGATCAGCGCTGAGGCTGCTTCCCCTCCCTTGGACTGGCTCCCTTAGTAGTCCTGCAGGTTGAATCTGAAGAGGACAGGCCAGGCACCAAGGGACCAGCGCTGCCAGCACTTGAAAAAAAGACCTTGAAGGAAAAAAGGAAAAAAGGAAAAAAGACCTTGAAGGCCTGTCCAAGGTGGGTTTGCGTTTAAAACCAAGTGGGGTGGTCCGGAGCTGCCGGCACTGACAACCATGGCACTGCGGCTGCTTCCCCGCCCTAGACACTCCACAAGGTCACTTGAGCCCGCCCTGCTCCAGATGAAGTGTGATCACTGCACACGGAAACAATGTAGTAAAAAAATAAAAACCGATGACCAAGGGCCCACCTCCATGAGCTCACGGGAGCCTCTGAGCAGTGGACACCCCGACTATTTTAGGGGCTTCAGGTGAGCGGGGGACACAGA